ACATTGTGAGATGCTACGAGTAGTTTTAGTGGTAGGCTAAGGTGCACGAACGTCTCTGACTGATGTTGTTGCTCTTCTTGCCATGCTAATTTATCATCTAATTTTGTCATTATACTCGATGACCCATTTTTTTCTGACAACATGAGATGAATTATGAACAGTTCAACATCTGTGGACGTTCACACAATCTGATAGATTTGGAGCTTTTTGTAAAGAGCAAGGGGAGGTGGGTCAAATACTGATCAACTTCTATCCAAAAAAGAATGCTGTTATGTATACAGGTTATAGGTTGCATTCATGACGACAAAGTTTTTACATTATTTTTCTTGGAAGTCATTTTTCTTGATAGCTCACAAAAAATATCATATTACACACATATACATATATATATATATATATATAAATATATATATATATATATATATATATTCTCTGCATTAACGTTAATTCGCTAGATTTTAATCTTGTGTCTAAAGTGATATCCACAAAGTTTCTCTGGAAAACGGATCGAGAGCCAAACATTAGGCCGTACCATTGATTCCCCCCATTTTCATGAGGGCCGTGCTCCTAATCCAATTGCGTCTGTTCCTCAAAATGAAATAATTGTATCAACGCAAACGTCGGCTCCCGGCGCCCCAGCCATTCTCTGTCACGCTGGCGTTTAATTGTTGATGGACTTCATGCATTCGAGGCATTCACAGTCAGGGTCGAGATGCATTTGCCAATAATGTCATATTATAAGAAAGGAAGGAAGGGAGTTATTTGACACGGAGGCGGGAGCTGTCTCTGGCAATGCGAAGGGCAACTAAATGAAATAGGAAATAGCTTTGAAGCAGCGACAGGGTGAAGGATGAATAGCATTCGTCTTTATGTGCCCTGCCGGACAAGTTAAGGGCGTACCTATAAATAAGACGTTCATCAGTCTTCGTGTTTGACGATGAGGGAAATCAATGAACAGTAAATGGTTTCCAAATATTTTATTAATAAGGTGGAACAATCTCCATTGCCAAATGTTCTAAATGATTGTTTTGTTTTGTTTTGAATTCCTTGTCAAAGCCAGTAGGTGCTTAAATGAATCTTCCAGAGGTGTTTGGAGCCAGCGACAAGGGACCGAGATGACTTTAGAACGGAACCTAAATATACCTCATTAAACACTGCATCGCAAGGCACGGGTGCAGACCCTTGACGAGGTGCCCAAGTTGTCGCAGTGACTTCTGGCAACATGCTTTCGTTAAGGAAGCTTCTGGAGTCAAAGGTGCTTTGCGATGTTGTTGTCGAGAATAACAAAGAGGAGACTGCTGCAAGGTCGGACTAAAACAGCACTCACCATTCTGAGCAGCAAATATTTTTTCACCGCTCCTACACAGAGCACCGTCTCATTTTTTTACCCCCCTATTCTTATATCATTTAGAGTATTTTGATTGCAAGTACTCCATATCATCAGAGGACCTGTGACAGTACATTAACGGTGAAAAAAAAAGCAACGATTTGCATCTCAAATGTCAAAGAAACAAGTCCTTTTGCATTTATCGTGAAGTACAAAAAATTTACCTGTGATTCTCACTAGCTTGAACTCTTAGCATTTGTAACAGATGTTTTTTTTTCCCCTTCTTTTTTTCTAGGAACCTTTATGCCTCCCACTTGGTCTTATTAACCACATGCTCACTTCTTCCCACAAGACTTGTCGTAAAGGTTTACATTAAAAATTAATTTGCAGGCTCCGTGGGCTGATCATTCATCATTAGAATGTTGTAAACCCTGCTTTATCATCTGTTTAATTCTTTCTGCTGATTGCGAGGTCACTGACCTTCCAGTATGTATCTGGCTGACACGGCCTTTGCAATTATGCTGTAGTAGAGTAGCAGAGGTCAACGTGAGAGAGAATTCCCCACGAGCAATTAAATGAAATGTTAATGTATATCTTTCACTTGACAACTGGAGCGGTCGGATTGTTCTGTAAGAAAGTTGCAGAAGACGGTTTAACTCGTTTCACATTTAATGAGCTCTTCAGCTTTCAGTTTTACTACAAAATATTTTGTCTTGACGGCTCTTATATCGTTGCCCTCAGACCACGTCCACACGTACACACTTACTTAAACCGGTTAAATAAAGTCTCTGTCCACACCAGTCTGAAAGACTATCCAGGCCGTTATTTCGGTCAAAGCGACTTTTGCTTCTATAACCGCTAGCCCATTTCAGCCTATCAAAATAATCCAGAAAGTCATTTCTGTAAAGGTTAGAATAACGCTGACAATCATGTCACACACTGTATACATCAACGTACATCAGGTGCCCACTGGGTTCTGTAGTCATCTCATGAATTACAGTCAATTCATTTTTTTTTTGTGGAGAAATACTAACAGGCAAACAATCATGCCGAAACAAAACATGACCTAATTGGTATGGACAGCAAAAAGTCTTGCGGTGATTTCTTCACATAATTCAAAGGATTTTTTTGGGTGTGTGTTTTTTTTATCTTGTCTTTTGGTTGCAAGTCTATTCACGGTTCACCCTTTCAGGTTTGAACATGGCTTTTCTGCTCCAAGCCCGCAAAAGTGTTTGGATTCAAAAAATGGATATTTTATACCGATGCAAAACGTACAGGAAAAAAAAAGGCTCAAGAAAAGCTAAAAAGAACGAATTCAGTTGGCCTTTAGCTGACAATGTGTCCCACATTAAGTCAATCCAAGCCTCAGACAGTAAGCGGAAGAGCTGTCACTGTCTCCCTTATCATCCACCGCAGCATTGTGGATGCCCAGCGCTTTTCCATTCTTCCCTTGCTTTTTTTTTCTTCTCCACATCCCCCATCCCTTGCTGCCCCCCATCCCCACTACCGTTTTCAAGCTGTTTAGTAAATGCATATAATCTTCAACCACCCAGCCGGACTAGAACCTCAAAGAGTCACAAAGATATGGGCAGATGGAGGTGAGCTATCAGCTCACCTGGAACTGTGGGCCTAAGGCGATAATCATTTCAAAACTGCAGGGGGAAAATGGTTTTAATAGCCCTGTAAAAGGTAAAAGTTTGTCTGCCTTATCACACCTGGCAGATGCATCGCAGAGAGGGGAGAGGAAAAGGGGATAGGGTGAGAAGAAAGCATCAGCTGATAATATCCCCTCCCCAGGAAAAGGATAAATCCGTAAAAAAAAAAAGGACTGCCTTCAGGAAGAAGTTCAGGGGATTAAGGCGAGTCTCTTTTCTTCTGTGTTCCAGCAGCCCCCTTCTCAGTCACCTTAGGTCATCATTCTTTCTCCACCAGCTGCTTGTTGACCCCGGAATTAACTTTTGTAAGTCTTGTGATATAAGCGACGGAGCGCTTTAGTTCCTTCCTCATGATTCACTTTCTTCAGTTTTTAACGATACAAGATAATGTTTGTCTTCATTATCGCCGACGGTCCACAGTACGGTTCCTAAATTGAAACAGTAAACGCAGGGATTTCAAAGGCCCCTCGCCGCCCACATATGCGTAACCCGCTGTGAAAGCCGGGACTGTTCGGAAAGCTCCACTTGATTTTTTTTATGAGCAGGAAGGCTCTTGCGTGCGGTGGCACGTTTTAACTTTAATGTTCCATTGTAGACAGAGCACGGCTCAATCTCACGCCTCAGTATTTGAAGGGATTCATTTCAGGGTTGTTTCAGCCTCTTACATCAGCCTTGTATGCAATATTTTGGATTTATGCGTGACCTTCATTGCGCCGCTTCTCCTTTAGTGTAAAACTGTTGAAGGTGTTACGGAAAGGTGATTGTTTTGTTTGAAGTCCTGCAAACTCTCCCAAACTTGGAGTCATGATTCGTAAAGCGGAACCAAATTTTCAAAGTCCCGCATTTGCTTTGACATGAGAGTGAATTTTAACACCAAATGAATTTGAAAATAATCTGCGTCTATATGCTAATTTAAAAGTATTCCCCTGTGTCTCTTGTTAGCCGATAAAATAGTTAATGCGGTATTTTGAGTGCAAAGACAACAAGGAGTACATTAGCATCTAGTTTAACAAACCTTATCAAGTCGAGCACGGATTGCCCTTCACGCATTCAAACCCCATCAACAACCGGAATTGTCAGAACGTTCATCCACTCTAATTAAAATTGCTTCCACTTTTAATCGTACACATTGATTCCACGGGGAACCTTGGTCTTTAGAATCACCAAAAGGATTCCCCAAAAAAAAGTACTCCACAAGAGCCAAGGCCGCGCTCCTCTGAACCAAAAAAGAAAGATGTTTTTTTTTTCAGCGTATCTATTTGTTTTATTCATTTATTTCGAGTTTAGCACTCTTCATTTATTCTCTCGACAAATTCACCTCAAGCTAATCAAGCCGTGCCGGCTCTCTGAGCTCTGAGAGCTGTGAACCACATCAGCTGCAAATGTTAGGCCATCTCCAAGTAACTACGGATCACAGCTTTGCCATTCATTAGGACGGGGAGTCGTCTCTCCTTCACGCTGGAGAAATCTAATTAAAAAAAGCTTCCCAAGGCAAACAAATTCCTACTGATGTCCAAGCACAATTTTGATCACATAATTTAATTGAACTCTGGTTCATTTTTCACCCCCGCTCTCATGATAGAAATGCCTCACTAACAATGCAACCTTGATTTATCACACTTTTGTTTATCTGCTACCTGTAATTACTGTCAAACCTGGAGTCGCATAGTTTAGGGAATTGCTGATTAGCCAATGCATACCAAAGCTTTGCGATTTTTTTTTTTCCATTTCAGAAATGAATTTGTCTCTCTCTGCGTCCACAGCTTACAACGGCATACATGAACAATGACTTTGAACAACTTCATTGAAATGAGCATATGAAAAACTTTGCGGCTGCTCAAAACTAACCAACAAGTACCGCAGTTTCATGCACCAAAGTACTCTGGTGCAAATCCAGGTTGAGGGAGTTCAGTAAGAAAAAAATGTCACAATCTGACAGGCAATCTGGAGCATTCGCAATTTGAAGAACTCTTGGGTGTGGCACAGGAAATATTGAAAAAAAAAACAAAACAACCCACCTCTATGGGATAGGAGTCGACCTCCAGGTGCACACTTTTCTTCCCAAGCTGGACCTCGAGTCCCTCGTTTCAGTTGACTCTGCTGCAGGTGGCTTTGTGAGATGACGTATCTGGCATATCAAGGAGGCCACACCCGGATGCCTTTCACACCGGAAAAGAAGATGGACTTAATATTTATACAATACAATGTGTATCTGAAATGACCTGTATCCGATTCACAATAACCTTGAGTTCATACAATAACCTTGGCTTCAAGGGCATCGATGACGCTCCTCCCTCCGATGACTGATTGTCAGACGCAATGTAGCGCTGACAGTGATTTGTCTTTAATGGCCGAGTGAGCATGTCAAAAGCCGCGCTGTGAAACGCAGTTTGATATGCTGCAGGCTGAGCCGTCTGACAACCCCACGACAGCCACTGTCACCCCTTCGTCACTGCAACAAAGCCCCAGCAATCAGTTTGAGATGAAGTAGCAGCGGCTTCTTGTGTAGCGACACACGCACGCGCACGTGTGCGCACGCAAGCCCGCGCGCAACTGAAACTCGACCGAGGGCACTCAACTTGGAACTGAAAGCCAAGGAAAATGGAGGGCGTGGAACTGACCTATCCAAAAACGAGCGGTTTGCCTCATTGCGTGGAATTCACCCAATGGGCTCTTTGACTGCGTTAAACATTGGCCGTTATGTTGGAAAGTTGTGCAAAATGACTCAAAGCATTTGACAAATGACTCAATGGGGCCAATTCTTAATTTTTTTCTATTCAATATCTGTTCTAACCATGCATATAGATGTATATTATAGTCAAAAAACTCCTGCGCTGCAAAGGTCATAAATCCACGACAACCTGTAAAGGCTCGAAATGGAGCAGATTCAGCACAGTGGAGATTTGCTTTCACTGGCCGCAGCTGGAGCAGCATCCAAGATAAACTTTCAAGTATCCGGCAAAGGACGCTTCTCGGGCCTCACAGAATGTCTCACGCCTTGATGAGCCTGACTGCTCACTTTTTTTTTGCCTTAATTCTCACCATTTGGCGATGCTTCACCAGCACCCAAATCCATTTTCTTAATCCGAGGCTCACTGTCACCCAAGTGGCAGTCTTGTTCCTGTTTAACAGATCAGCGGCAGCGGAAGCTTAGCTATGCAGCAGCTACCCCTAAACCCCTCCACATGAGTCCCAGTCTGGACCAAGCAGAGCTTTGAATCACCAGAGACAGAATTTCATTGGATCTGGCGTCACTCGCTCTCCGTCTCGACTCGTCTGTCTCGCATGATGCTAAGTGTGACAGACTTAACTGCGTTCTTTGCTGTGATTTAACTGTTCCAGAAAATTGATGAAACGTAACTTCAGTCCAGATTTCCCCCTCATTCAGTTATGTTAGACTATACAAACATAAGTAAGTGAGAGAACATATGTCTCTACAGACCCATTCAGTGGCTGGCTGGCAATTCACTAACTCAGAGCAATATGACAAAGAATGGCAATTCCATGCACACTGAGGCAGGCTCGTCAATGAAAAAAATATATATAATGATTATTCTAGCAGTTGGCTATCACTGCTAGACTACATTGTAGCCATTTTTTTTTTGCTTCAGCTCAGGAGGATGTTTTTAGGTTCAGGAAAAAAAAAAAAAAAACAATCACAGTACGTCCAGGAAATGTAAAATGAGATATATACACAAAATTCTTTCAACTGAGCGTGTGCCAGCAATGGCCGTGATAGCTGTCAGACTCGTCTGATGGAAGGATTTTGGCTTGCGTCCCATATCTACATTTTCTTCCGGTCTGCATAAATATTTGTGTTGTCATCGCACCCTTGTCGAATGTCTGTGTAGTTCCTGACCCCGATACAGCCTGCCTGTTGTGACGAGGAGTAACAGGTGGAGTGGCAGCCCACGCTTGTCTCTCTATGTTTAACCTGTGAGATTCAACACCTCCAAAGGTGGTGAGACATGTCCCCTACCAGTGGGTGCCTGCTTGAGTAGAAGGAAACTTTTCTGGGAACTTAACTCGGCTACCGATACTGATCTGAGATTAACTTTTTTTTTTTTTTTTTTCTCGACACTAGCTGTTCTCCAAATAGATGACGGATGGGGATTTGACAAAATGTCCTGAATGGTCCGAACGCCTCCATGCCAGTGTTGTATTGAGTAGACTAATGCCGCCAGGAAAAGTTAGACCAGAATGGAGGTCTGTTGTGGATGTTGATCAAATTCCTTCAGTAATTATTCAGTTGTTGTTTGTTCGACACAAATTACAGAGTACTCAATAAAAACTTGGTCTTGAAAATGCATTGTAGGCGTTGCCGTTTTCCCCCAAACAAAATTTCCTGGGGATGCGCTATTCTCTCAAAGGCTGTTCCGCTGTTGAAATTATAGTTTGCAGTTCGCATAAAACAACCCATGAAATGTTGCCTTGGTGGAATATTACTATGCTTAGAGATAAATTATCACATTAAGGTGGTGCGATGTCTTAATCTTATTGGACTGTAAAACGGAAATTGCCCTCATTCATCTTGGCTTCCAAGTCCTGCTCATGTTGAATGTCACACACGCCGATAAACTACCGAGCACAAAGAACCATCCACTTAAAAAAAAAACTCCAAACCCATTTTTTTTTCTGAGACCAGGCTCTTGTCCGATCACCATTTTCCTTTGTCTGTCTTAATGTTCCAGTTGATGTCCTCGCTAAATAATTGCTGAGAGGCCCGTCCTCACCTGTCAGTGTGGTCAAGCCCTTTGGTGAGAGTATGACAGCCATCTTGTCCCTTTAGTCCTCTACTTCCATTAGCTGCCCTGGTCACTGCGACCGTGCAGTCATTCCAGGGTCAGAGCCCTCCACTATGGGCTGTAATTGCAGTACATCGAGCACTCCGAAGCTGCCGCGCCCACCTAATGAATTGTCACCCACTTTAATACGAAATTACACAAGGGTGACTCGTAATAGATTAATACGGCTAGCAAGGTTACTCTCAAAGGATAATCCATTGAAAATAGCTGATTGCCTGCCTAAAATTATTAGAAGACCCATGCCAAGTCGGATTAGTCAGCCAAAGTGATCACTCTTATCTATCCCCGGATCACTTTGTGTAAAGAGGGGTTGGAATACTAAGCCTCACCCTTCGAAGAAAGGTTAGCTTGTTCTTGAACTAGATGAGGACACGGAAACTTTCTATCATGTTAATGTTGAATTAACAATGACGATGAGCCACGATCCCAGTGTTAAAAACAAACATTTTCGGTAGACATCGCCTCATAGCGTTAGTGGTTGCACAGAGGGAAATAAGATAGCTAAAGGGCTCATCTTTTTTACACGAATCTGCAAGTGTACATGTATTGAACGGTAATTAGACTTGTTAAACTTTCCCCAGAAATTACAAATGCAAAAAAAACAAATCAAAAAACCCAGAGGCAATTGTGTTGTCCATTAATATGTGCCAAACTGTTTGCATTATAGCCATCTGACCAAACATTGATGAGCTAATGCTGTCTGAAACGCTAACCTCAAAAATATGACGCAAATAATAGCCGGCTTTGTCATATGTCTGCTCCACTAACCCGTCATTACACGTACCCTCAGAGTCATTAAAATGGGAAAATAGCATCTTTCGTGATGGTGACAACAACCAATTATGAAAGGAGGGTAAATTTGCTGGGCTTTGTTGCATCGATCATTAAAATAAACAAACTGATGTTACAGTTCTTTTTTTTTTTTTTTTTTTTTGTATATGTTTACAAAAATGACAGTGTGGCTACATGGTATAAGAATTCCAAGAGAAAAATAAGTGACACCCTCGACTTTAACCGACTTCCTACATTTGCAATTTAGAGCAATTTTATTCTCCACTTTCGACATCTCAGCTACAGTTACACCATACTGCACATCAGCTTTCTTGTTCGTGCTCATACGGTATATCGACAGTGTGCACGTGCCAATCAAACAGTCCCCAAAAGACTCCCTCTCACCCAGTTGCCCTGCCCCTGGCTCTCAAGATGGAGAGAGGCCATCCTGGGGTCACAACGCTGCGTGTTCTCATTCAGAACAACATCACAGTTTCTCTTTTCTCATTACCCACATGTGCTGTCTGTGCGCAGTCATCTCACCACCGCCACCCCATATCAGCCTCAGGGTCAGAGTTCAGATATTATTGGATTTTGTTGTTTTTCATTTTACATCGCTACGGCTACAATTGGCAGTGGTATTTTGATGTTTAGTTCGGTGTCCTAAAGGCATGATGCACTTTTGATTCACACAGTGTACAGTACATGTAGCCAAGCTTCATGAAAACAAAGTTTCGTTTGTTTGAATTTGCCCCGAGGGAGCAATAAAATGCTGGCAAAGTGTCATATGATGATGTCAAAGCATATTTGAAAGACCAAGATGAAAATTAAGTCGAAGATCAAGGCTCCCGCTTAATAGGCTTCTTGGATGGGTTGATCAAAAGCAAATTGGCTTCAAAAGTAGGGGGAGGTCATGGGCTTGAAATTAGCATGAAATTAACAGCCAACATCATCACACAATTTCAAAACAAAATCAAGCAAACTGGACAAGCGCAAATCGTCAAGAAGTACCAACTAAGCAGCCAAGCCTACAAATTGTCCGAGTAGGGGTACAGAATTCTGTGCAGGCTGCGCGAGTTCAGTTCCCACTCAGTGGCAGTATGTAAAAAACTACGGTCTGCCATTTTTGATCGTTTCTGCAGCCATTATCATATTAGGCCACATACCTTTTGACGATTTAATCATGTCTTTTATTTTGGAATATAAAAATGATAATTACACAAAAAAACTGAATAAATTGGATTCTTTTTCTTTTTTTTTTTTTACAATAATCGAGCTGTTCTCCACTGAATACACAATGATTTAACAGGGGATGTGTAAAGTGGACCAGCCTTGGGCGACGGGCCCGTCTCGCAGCAGCTGTTGGTGCAGATGTAAGGTGACAGTAATCAATACCGATTATTAAAGTGGGAGCACCATCTCTAGTGTGTGATTAATCTTCATTCCCTCATGTTTACAGAGCCTCCTCTGGC